AAAACTCCGCCAGAGTTGCCGCCGTTCCTCGTGTTGGCTTCGGTGGGCTTTGATCCACGCTGCCCCGCTGCCCATCCCGGGCCTGCGCCGCCCTTCACGCCTCTCCTGGCGCGGGTGCTTGGCCATTTATAGCGGTGACAAGAAGAATTAAAGGCTTTACCGGAACGTGTCCGTGGCCGACCCCGGATGCCAAGTCTGCAGTAACCTTCCCCGTGGGGTGGGCAGCGCGGCTGCCGCCTCGGAGGGTCGCTGGGCCCTGGGGTCTCCAGGAGCCGAGCGGCTTCACTGGAGTGAGAGCCACCATCAGGAAGCAGCTCGGGTGGGCTCCGTGCTGGGGGTTGCCCTCAGGCAGGCTTGGTTCACAATTTCATCCATGTTTTGGACAAAAAAAAAAAGCCCAGCAAAACCTGACCCAGCTTTGTTGTTTGGATAATTCCGCAGCGCTATTTACAATAATAAATAATTAAGCAATAATTAAATGGGAAAGTGGCATCAGGGGGATGCGCTTTGCTGTCCCCAGGTGCTGTCTGCGTGGCCAGGCCAGGGCTCTGTCTGCAGAGCTTGCCAGCAGGTCCCTGTAGGCTCTGCCCCTTCCTCGGAACCTGGAGTCCCCGTGTGGGGCTGCCAGGGCCCCCACCCTGGGCGGCATGCTAGCCTTGGCCAGGGAGAGACCAACTTCACTGGCATCTTGATTTGTTGCTGTCACTAGGAGATGTTAGAAGGAAACCAGGCATCTGGAATTATCCAGTGTAGGTAATAACTCTTTATCTAGGGTTTGTGAAACGCTTTGAGATCTACAGACACAAAGGTCTGTATGAGGAGCCGGTGTTATTGCAACACTTGTGCGCGACGACTTCCTCTATGCTGGGAAAGGTGCCTGGGCTGGTTTGCCTTCCCTTTCCACCCGTTCCCTCCCAGTCCCTTCTTCTGTTGGGTGGAGAAGAAACTTGAACCATGGCTGAGGTTCTCTGCTTTCCATTTTGCCTCCAGACTAATCACTGGAGCTTCATCTAGGGGAATGTTATTAAGCAGGCTGGTTCTTCTGTCATCCAGAATGTAATCTGGAAAACCTGAAAAAAACCCTGCTTAGTAAGTAAAGAGCAAATGGAAAGTTCTACCCTGGAGTGAGCAGACAACTACAGCAACTTGCTGGTTGCTAAGGATCTTTCCATTACAGGCTGATGTTATACTGATGCCCTGAGCCTGCGGGCAGGGTTAGTGCCTCAGCCTT